TGCGCTATTTCACTTTCGTTTCCTTCTTTATGTCTTTCGGATTTTATACAATTATTTTTTGGCTGGTTGTAACCAACTCTTTTGTCGAAAGTGAAATGGAGTTTCCCGATACCAGAAATATTGGTATAGGCGACAACAAGATGGCGTTGTCAGAGACATCGTCACAACTTGAAGAAATGGAAATCGAGGAGCTGACATCTATCAATATCGAGGAGTTAATGGCTAGCATTGATCAGGAAGACGAAAACCATTTTCAAGAGTTAGGAATTACGAACCCAAATGTACAACTCGATAACACCCCAAAAACCATAAACGATGCTTTGAAGGAAATCCAACTAGACCAAACACAGGTTCAAGCACCACAACAGCCGACCAATATCCCAAACATCAATCATCAAAGTTCGTCACAACGACAAAGCTCTGATGAAATGACCTTTGAAGAGTTTCTGATCGGCTTAGGGGTTATTCGGGCATCGTCACCAATGTCGTGCCCCCAACCGGAGGTTCAAAACGATGGTGGAGCATTGCTTGGTGCAAATATCCCCGTTCCTGAATTTGACATAGGTACACATTTATTTTACTCGATAATATAACAGAAAATGTTTTTTGGGCAAAAAAGTTGATCATTGACGATCTTAATTTGCCCCACACAGAACCCGCCTCCAAATACACCAATTTGAGAGAGAATTTTGACTCACTCAACAGTTGAGGCTAGTGTAGGGGGGATCAAACGCAGACCTGTCTTGTATTTGGACAAGTCACCTCGCTCATTTGCCAACTGAGTTATACGCCAGAGGCATAAATGCTTATATTCTAATAACAATTATTTTATCTAAACTGAAAGGTGGCAGGGAAAATGGATGTGATTTTCCTTTGGGTGGTTCTGTCGGCCCGTGTGGGCCGACTTTCGTTGGCACCCCGTTCTCCTATGGAACAAACATGGCGCCAACAAGGGTTTCTAGCAATGAAACCAACTGGACCATACAATCTCATGCTTCAACAATGGTCACTCATAATGCAAGGCAACGTCGTAGAATGATCCGAACCAGACTCAGACACCAGGTTTTTGACTCTTGGTTTGAATTGGTTATGGGTCGTTTATTCACTACGATAAAATTGGTTACATCGAACGTCTAAACTGTCTAAGCATCATAATTGAATACTTTGTAGGACTTAAGTTTATAGGAACAAACCAAAAAGATTCTTATCTAGAACTGTTAGAATATGTTATAGGAGGCTTTTAGGCTTTTCAACAAGTCTTTTAGTACGTTTTAAAAATAAATTGTCGTATTAGCTATTTTATACGACATTATTTGATAATGTGTCATACAAAAATGGGTTTGTAGGACCTATAAAATAGCTAATACGATGCTTTATTTAAAAGTGTGTTAAATTTTTGTTAAAACACTCAAAAGTGTCCTATAAACCTATTTTAACACTTTTAGATCAGACGCTTTATAATTTGGTCCTATAAACTAGTTCTATAAATTATTTTATTAGGATACTTAGACATTCTAGGTATCATATAAAACCAATTTTGTTGTACTGCTTCTTCATCGTATATGATCAAGATTTCATGATTTATCTGTGTAGGAAAACAATACGAAATGGAGGTCGAGGGGAACAAGCTCAAGAACTACACAAGACCACAATCATAATTAACAAGCGTTTCAAGACCGTTGACATTGACCCTTTTAGGATAAAATGGATTTTTCCGTCTCTTGATCTAATGTAATAAGTCGTTGCATAGATGTAGCCAAAATTGGGGGTTAAAATTCATGTTTTTATATGATTGTTCTGTTCGAATTTTTATTGTTACAAAGTGTCAGATCTTGTTCTATATACATCAAAAACTCGATTGACATATGTTTATCATGTGAGTTATTCGAGTCGACTCAACGAGTTGGGAATGAGTTAGTCTATCAATAAATTTATACATATTTTCATATTTTTTATACAAATTTAAATTTTTACCAATTGACAAAAATAAACAGTCATATTGATTCAGATTTCAAACTTTAGCATCACCTCTTACCAATCAGAAATGAAATAAGAGAATGAATTTGCATTCCCTCAGTTTAACCTGAAATCAAAATTTGGGCTTTTGTGGAAATGAACTCATTATATAATATAAAACCAAACAGTTTTTTTTTTTTTTTTTCATTCTCATTGATTACTGCCTGATACCTCTAACCAAACACCATCTTATTGGTATATACCCCCAAGCATAGATTTGATACCAATTTTGACATGTTATTTTATTTAGTGAAAATATTAACGGTTTAAAGTTTAAAATGTTTGATAATATCAAGAAAATACGATTATTTATGTCTATTCTGAGTTATTGTTGAATTAAAGGTCGCTCTCTCATATATGGATCTAAATCTATTGATTTTAAAATATTATCGTTTAAGAAATCGGGTCAATAAATAATAATGACCGAAAAGAGTATGTTTCATATCGTAATTTTTGAAAGTGGGAGACGGGGAAACCACGAGTTGTGGCTTGTGCGCTATTTCATTTTCATTTGTTTTCTTTATGTCTTTTGGATTTTAATACAAACGTTATTTATTTATTTTGTAACCAACTCTTTTGTCCGGAGCGAAATGGGGTTTCCCGATAGCGGAAAAATGGGTATAGGTGACAACGAGATGGCGTTGCCAGAGATATTTTCACAACCTGAAGCAATGAGAATCGAAGACTTGACATCTATCAACATCGAGGAATTCACGGCTAGCATTCAAGAAGACGAATTTCAAGAGTTTGGAATTATGGACCCAGATGTACAAAAAGATAACGCCCCAAAAACCTTGAGCGACATTTTGAAGGAAATCCAACCGGACCAAACACAAGATCAAGCACTGCAATGCCAAACTAGTGTCCCGAATATCGATCATCAAAGTTTGTCACGACAACAAAGCCCTGATGAGATGACCTTTGAAGAGTTTCTGATCGGCTTAGGGGTTATTCGGGCAGCGTCACCAATGTTATGCCCCCAACCGGAGGTTCAAGACCATGGTGGTGCAGTGCTTGGTGCAAATAACCCCTTTCCTGAATTTGACATAGGTACACATTTATTTTACTCGATAATATAAAGGCAAACATATTTTTGGCAAAAAACTTGACTACTGGCAATCCCTAACTGGCCCCACACAGACACCAATGTCAAGGGGGATTTTTTTTTTGTTTGACCCACTCAGCGGCTGAGACTAGCAGAGGGAGGGGGCGGGATTGAACCCGAGCACGTCTTGTATCTAGACAAAGTGACATTGCCCCTTTGCCAACTGAGCTACAGGCCATAGGCATAAAGGCAAACATTTTAATGATAATTATTTTATTGTACCTGAAAGGTGGTAGGGAAAATGGATATTATTTCCCTTTGGGTGGTTCTTTCGGCCCATGTGGGCCGACTGTCATTGGCACACCAGTCTCTTATGAAAGGAACATGAAGCCAATAGCGGTTTCTGGCAATGAAGCCAACTTGACCATACAGTCTCATGCTTCGACAATGGTCACTCATAATGGGAGGCAAGACCGCCTAAACGATGCGAACCAGACTTAAAACATCAGGTTTGTGACTCTTGGCTTGAATTAGATATGTATCATTCCTTGTTCACCATGACCAAGATTTCTTGAATTTATTTTGTGTAGGAAAACAGTACGAAATTGACGTTCAGAGGAACAAGCTCAAGAACAACGCAGGACCATAATCATAATTGAAGCCGAGCGTTTACTTTATTAAATCAACTCTCAAGACTGTTGAACTAGAATTTCTTAGAATAAAAATGGATCCATTTTTTACCGTATTTTGGTCTAATGTTTAAAATTATTGCAAAGATGTAGCCAAATTTGAGGGTAAAAAACTCATATTTTTATATGGTTATTATGTTTGAATTTCTCAGCATATCTTGTTTTGTATATACATCAGAAACTGAGTATGAGCCAATATCAATTGGCATATGTTTATTATGTTAGTTACTTGAGTTGACTCAATGAGTTGGAGTGAGTTACTCTACCAATGCAATGATTACACAAAAAATTTGATGAAAAGTTGGCTTCTATCTCATTGTTGTCCCATCTTGTTCCACCTATTTTTATGGAACAAAGAGAAAAGATTTTTTTGTCCCTTGTCTTTGTCCAGTCCCATGTCAGGCCAAAAGTGGGAAAGTGAGTTTTGTCTTGTCCCATGTCTAGGGCCGGTCCTAGGGCTAGAGCTTTTGATCCCCTGTGCGAAAATGGTAAAAGAATATAATGCCTATTTTTCTAAACAAACAAAACAATGAAACATAAAAAAAAAAGCCTTATGCTAAAAAAATCCCCTAAATTTTAGAATTTAGCCATTCGGGATTTCCATCTTCGATGAATCTAGGCTTCATGACCTTTATTCGGTTGGAAATGGAACGTCGTTCGTTGAAAATCGGAAAAGTCGAACTTTGAAGAACAATAAGACCAACTTGAGTTGTTGGAATGTTGGGCGTTTACTGTTTCACGACTTTCTCAAGATTTAGATTAGGCGCATCCAGTATCCATCATTATCAAGCCTTGGGCATGTTGTTTATAGTTAAAACTCAGTTTCCCAATTTTCAAATTATTAAACCCAAAACTGATAATAGTTAAAAACTTGATGCCCCTTTGGGCTGTGTGCGGTCGCACACACTATATGTAGTCAGGGGCCGAACTTGCCCATGTCCCCCCAAACATGGGAAAATGAGTTTTGTCATGTTTTATTTAGTACTCATGTCTTATGTACCAAACGAAGCATTGACAGTAGTTGACATTTCATGCAATTATTTATTTTTTTCAAAATAAACACCGAAGTTTAATATTTTGTGAAAAGCACACTTGAAACTCATAACGAAATGCCAAGGACGATTTTGAAGTATTTTCAAAAGTCAAGGGGGTGTAAGTTAATATAAAGAAACTGTAAATGGTCTTCTGATTGTCTATGATCAACATAGACAGATTGGAAGCGAGAAGCCGGTTGACCACTTCGAAGCATGTAGATCAGTCATACTTTACTCAAATTTCTTCATAAACCCATCAATTTTTCTCGAATCCCATTTCAATTCTGTTGATTTCCCTCTAAAATCTTCTTCCCCCATCATCTGTTATGACTGAAACATCCACCTTAATTCGTATTTCCTTTTTGCTATCGATAGCCCTAGACCTCCTCGTTTCCCCAATCACAGCTTCATCGTATGATCATCGGTACAATGTAGGAGACAATGTACCTTTGTTTGCCAACATAGTTGGCCCCTTGAACAATCCCAGGTTAGTAATCGGTGTAATTTTACTTCGATTGAGAAATACCATGTGAAGAATCGATGTTTTGTTACTGTAATTTTAGTGTTTTTTTTTTTCTCGTTTTAATGTTGTTCTTAGAAATTAACCCTAGAAAGGTTGATTTGACGATTTTTGTGCAAAAAAGGGGAATGGGTTCAGGTCAAGAAGCCTCGTGTGCACATAAATTTTCGACACCCATATAGAACTTTGGGTGATCCTGATGGACTCCATGGCTTACTTTTGAGTGGATCATAAGGTGTTTTGGAACTTCAGAATTGACAAGATTTGTATTATTTGTGTAGAAAAATTGATAAACTACATTTAACTGTAAGAAGAGTAGTGGAAGGTTCAAATAAGAAGGCTAAATGTCGTGAGAAGGTAAGAAAGGGAAGGTTCATATGTGAATCATTGGAAAAATTGCATCTGAATATGCATACATGAACCATATGAATAATTTGTAACGTTTGAAAAGATAAGAATGGAAGGTTAAGAGAAGGTTCATATGTGAATCATTGAATTCTTTTGAAAAAAGATCTATTTAAAGATGCATATGTGAACCCATGTGAATAATCTGTAACGTTGGTTCGCGTGTGCATCTTCAAATAGATTTTATTCGGATTTATTCAATAATTCACATATGAACCTTCTCTTGACATTTTTCCGCATGCGTTCTCAAGATATTTAGCCTTCTTATTTGGACCAACCCCGAGAAGAGTATTATGCTAGAGACATCATGGAGGTAGGAAACTAAAGAAAATCGATGCTAATATTGAATGTGGAACACATTAGGCTTGAAATTGTGATATAAGTAGAGTATTGAGAATGTAGGTTGAGGGAGTAATTTCTTGATGCTGCTGGATTGGGTGATATATGTGATGATTGAGCTGCATATTGTCATCAAGTTGAAGTGTAGCTTTCTATTCTTATTGATTTCTATGCTGTTATACTTTTGTATAGTAGATTAAGTAGAACTTTTGGTTGTGAATTGTTGGGAATGTACTGATAACTTATCATGAAGCTTGAGCTAAATTAGGATGATTCACTGGAGTGGACCCAGAAAACGGAGACAATAAGGTCCCTTTTGGTTTGTAGGATTGGATCGGATTTGAAGGGATTTGGAATTCAATTTCATTCCAATCCCATGTTCGGTTTGAAGGATTGTTTGGATTTGAAGTCCCAAAATTTCATTGAAATCCCACAAACATGGGATGTAGAAATCCCATGCGGTTTGTTAGTATTTCGTGGGATTTTGTAGGATTTGTGTGCAGTAATGTTTAAAATTATGTTGAAAATATTTGTTTTGTAATAATCAATTGATAAAAAGGTAATTTAATTATTTTTATAACTATTTATAATTTGTTTTTTATGAATTATTTATAAAAAATGGAAGTCAATTCCATTCCAAATCCTATAAACCAAACACACTAAAGATTCCAAATCCTTCCACGAAATCCAAATCCCTCAAAACCATTCCATCAAACCAAACGCCACCTGTGCATTTGGTATACGGACGTGACTGGATGACTAGACAGTATTGGACAGACAAAAGTAAGGTGAAAGAATTCTAAAAGGTTTTAGGGTTTTATTTTGACATGGGTAGTTTAGTCATTTACCAATCTTGTATCTCCTTGATTTTTGTTCTACCTACTTTGGTAGGACAAAGAAATGCCACACTCAAACCCTTTTCCCATCCTAGTCTATTTTCGCACCAAACGCCTGCATACTATACAAGTATTGTTGTATTCACTTTTGATCGATTCTTTCTTCTAAGTTTCTTTTTTAAGATTATTTTCTTGATATCTCTTGCAGCGAAACCTACCAATATTATGACCTGCCATTCTGCACTCCAGGTTAGCATTTGAGCTCATAGTAACAAATGGCCATATGACCGTCATCATTTTTTTCGGTTTACATGGGCTAAGTTGGCAATTACACTGAAGATTAATCAGTTTACAAAAACAGTCTTATTAATTCTTCTTGAATATCAAGTATAACATCCCCGGTTTATCTACACTGGGACTCATGGTTTTAAATGATAGAGAAGGTATCCAGTCCCTTATAAAGCAACCTTAGTTCCCATCCCTAACCAATGTAGGATCTCACAATCCACCCCCTCAGGGAGCCAAACATCCTCGCCGGTACACCGGTCTGGTTCCCTGCTCTGATACCATTTGTAACATCCCCGACCAGCCGTACCAGATATTGTTTTTGGGCTCATGGTTTCAAAACGCATATGATAGAGGAGGTATCCAGTCCCTTAAGGCTGCGTTTGGTACACAGGACAGGACAGGACAGATTAACGATCACTGTTCCATGTATAGCGGGACTTTTATGTGGAATAGACAGGGAAAGAGTGGAACAAAGTGGAACATGCGTGTTCCACCCCCGCCCCATGGAACAAGGTGGAATAGATCTATATTTTACCAATATAACCTCAAAATAAAACCTAATTCTTTTCTAAAACATCAAACACGCATCACCCTTTACATATTATTCATTCTTTACATTTTATTTATTATATTTTATACTCTTTAAACTTTCACTTTAATGTCGTTATTTATATACGATTTCTATATTTTGATTAATTTATGTAGTTTATTAAAGTATTAATAATAAAATAATTAATTTATGTCACCTTTTATTTTGGTGACATTTTAATTGTTTTGACGAAAACCTTCTAATGATATATTTTGTTATAAAAAGTATTTCTTTTATAATAATTTAATAAATTACATAAATTAATCAAAATATATAAACAACTCATTAAGGGTAAATTGGTCATTCCATCAGTCATGTCCAGTTCTGTCTTATCAAGCACTGAACACCTGTTCTGTCTTATCAAGCGATGAACACCTGTTCTGTCTTATCATATTCTGTCTGGATACCAAATGCACCCTAAAAGACGGCCTTTGTTCTCCTCTCCAATGGATGTGGGATCTCACGTCAAGTGACTATGCCATTATCAATCTTCAATCCGTAACTCTTTAATTATCTTGCAGGTCAAGTGATCCCAAAGAAGGGAACACTGGGGGAAGCTTTAAATGGGTTTAGATTGATCAATACCTTATACAACTTAAAGTTTCGCGAAGATAAAGTTGGCGAAATTCTGTGCGATAAGAAGCTTAAACGAGATGACGTTAAAAAGTTCAGAAACGCCATCAGTAACGATTTTTACTTCCAAATGTACTATGACGATCTTCCATTGTGGGGATTTACCGGAAAAATGGAAGATGAGAGCTGGATGGGTGATGGGAAGGGACCCAAATATTATGTTTTCAAACACGTCCAGTTTGACGCTCTTTATAATGACGATAGAATCATAGAAATACGTGCGTTTAGTGATCCAAATCATGCTGTAGATATCACTGACGAAACTGAGGTCAACGTTAAGTTTACTTATTCGGTTTCTTGGAATGCAACTTCAAACGAGTTCAAGAACCGGATGAACAAGTATTCAAGGGCTTCGTTGTTGCCCACACAACGGCAAATCCATTGGTTTTCTTTCGTTAACGGTGTGGTTGTCATCGTACTCCTTGTTGGACTGCTTACGATGCTGTTTATGCGTCATCTGAAGAACGATTTAAGAAAGTAACGTGTTGGTTTCTACTGCTTCCCAATCGAGATAGTTTGATTCTTTTTTTTTTCATTTTTTTTCTTGGTTTTTTGATTGCAGACATAACGGAGACGAAGAGCAAGACAAGGAAGTGGGTTGGAAGTACGTTCACAGCGATGTATTCAGATGCCCGCCACAAATGGCGTTGTTTTGCGCTGTTTTGGGCACCGGGACACAGTTATTGATCATGTAAGCCACTTCAAATTCAACTTCATGAATTGGATTTGAATTTTGGAGTTCGGTCTTTTATGACGATGTTTGGGTTTTCTGCAGGGTTTGCTTGTTATTCGTTTTGGCATTTTTCGGGGTCGTTTATCCCTACAGTCGTGGGATAATCTCGACTTCTCTTGTGGTGTTCTTTATTCTTACGGCTCCTGTTGCCGGATACAGTGCTGCTTCGTTTTTTGGCAAATTTTACGAGACCGGATGGGTAAGTTCTTTTCTAGTAAAGGGTCGGTTACCGACACAAATTGGGTAAGCACTAACCGGGTAAAAGTGCAGGTTGGGTAACAGTTGTTTACCAAGTATTTTGTAGTAATTGCTTCGGGTGCGTTTGGTATCCAGACAGGACAGAACAATTGTTCAACATTTGGTAAGACGAGTTGTTTATATATTTTGATTAATTTATTAAATTATACTAAAATAAACAAAATATATCGTTAGAAAGTTTTCTTCAAGACGATTAAAATGACACCAAAATAAAAAGTTTATGTAGTTTCCAATTTTTATTTTATGCCTTTTCTATATTGTTATTATTAATATTTAATAAACTACATAAATTAGCCAAAATATAGAAATTATATACAAATAATATTCTGAGGACAGTAAAGTGAAAGTTTAAAGAGTATAAGATGCAATAGATAAAATCTAACGAATGAATAAAATGTAAAGAGGGAGGCGTGTTTGATGTTTTAGAAGAGAATTAGATTTTATTTTGAGGATATATTGGTAAAATATAGGTCTGTTCCACCTTGTTCCATGGGTAGGGGGTGGAACACACCTATTCCACTTTGTTTCTGTCTGTTCCACATAAAAGTCTTACCAAACATGGAAAAGCGACCCATGTTATGTTTTGTCTTGTCCAATGTACCAAACGCACCCTTAATGTTGAAAATCTCCGAAAATGGAGAAATTATAGAGAATTTGTTGGAGATGCCGGTATTGCCTTTACCTCGAAGAGTATGCAGCGATCTTTTTTACGTTTTTTGCTTTAATCGTGCTAAATTTTAGAACTTTTGCAGGAAAGATGTGTTCTTTTATCCGGGGTTCTCTTCGTTGGACCACTTTCCGTTATCACGCTTCTTCTTAACACAATTGCCATATCGATTGGGGCTGCTACCGCACTTCCGTTTGGCACTTTAGTCGTGATCGTACTTGCATACACTTTAGTTGCCATTCCGCTTCTTGGGTTTGGTGGGGTAATGGGATATCGTTTTAGATCCAAGTTTCAAGCACCTTCGGCTACGAAGATATCCCCGAGGGAGATTCCGCTGCTGGCATGGCACAGAAAGACTCTTGGTCAAATGTTCATCTCGGGTCTTTTACCGTTCAGCGCAATTGTTCTCGAGTTGCATAATGTGTATGCAACGATTTGGAGCTATAAAATCTTGACTCTCCCTGGCGTCTTGTTTATAACGCTCGTCCTTCTCGTCTTAATTACGTCGTTGTTGAGTGTCGGTTTGACGTACATCCAGCTGACTGTAGAAGATCATCGGTGGTGGTGGAGGTATGTTATCTCGTATTCGCTCAATTCCAAATTATTCACCTGATTTAGACTTTCGTAGTCAAAACCCAAAAGTAGTACATTTCAACCAATATTGGTTTTTATAGAAAAAAAGGTTTAGGCTATGTTTAGCAAACTAGCTAATATGCTAGCGGTTAGCTGAAAAGATAGTTGTTGGCTGATAAACTAAATGTTAGCTGAGCTAGCTGATAAATTAGTTAGATGACAACATAAATAACAAAAAAAAAAAGAGGCATTTTGATTAATTAATTAGAAAAATATGAGGTTGGGCGTATTCGGAGATTAGATTTTTAGGTATATAACCTTAAAATGGCCATTTTTCTTTAATAGGCCATGATGTAATCGATTTAATTAAAAAAAAACTCATTTAAGGTTGTATCCCTAAATGATCCAGCAGCATATTCGTGTGTCAAAGTAGAGATGCAGAAGGCTCGAACTTTTTCAGGCCTGAGCCCGATCTTTCCGAGCCTGTTTCAGCGAAAAAAAGGTTCGGGCTTTTTTAGGCCCGGGCCAGGTTTGATTGGGCCTAACCTCATTTTTCGGACTTTTCCAAACCGGGATTTTTCGGGTCGGTACCCCAAAATTTTCGTGCTGATCAGGTTTTGAGGACTGGTCTTGGCCGAACTTCGGGGTTGGGCTTTTTTTGTGCATCTCTATGTCAAAATGTGTTGGTAGACAACATCCCTTCTTACCTGGTGAGCACTTCTTACCTAGTAAGAGGCCGTCAGCTGGTAGTAAATAATCTCTTAATTTCTATCTTAGTTTTTGAAAAGTACATAGAAACCCGTAATTGAGATGTGTTAATTTGCTGTTTTCTTTTGGAAATGGTTAAATCTTGATGTTGAATCGGTCATCTGGGTTTGTGAAACAGATGCGTGTGGCGTGGGGGTGCGGTTGCCATCTTTATGTTCGGGTATTGTATCTACTACTACCATTCAAGATCAAACATGACGGGATTGATGCAATCATCGTTCTATTTCGGCTACAATTTTCTATTTTGCTATGCCTTCTTCTTGATGCTCGCTACAATCAGTTTCCGTTCATCTTGGATCTTTGTGCAGCATATCTACGATGCCGTGAAAAGCGAATGAACGTCTTCATCTAAATGGCCTCTATTTCGACCCACATGAGCCGGACGTTTTCTATATGATCTTCCCTTAAATTTTGTAAAAGTTAGGCCATGGGATGTTGCATATATACACACCTTACATGTATGGGATTATAATCTAATGAGCTGCTGAGAATTTTAAATTTTTTTCGATTTGAATTTAAAGACAACGTACGGTGTGCATAGAAATACAGTATTTTGCAAGGAAAACAAGATAAAAAATCGAAGTCCATTTTTAGATGGAAGTAAATATTTTGACGGAAAAAAATGAATTAATGAGATTTTTAAGTTCTTTTTTGGTCTAATTATCGATTAGAAAAGATTTAGCTTGTATGGATCGTTATTTGTTTGTTTGTTTGATTGTTTTTTCTTTTATTTTTTATTAACCTGGATATCCAACTCGTTATGCGAACCTTCGTGACCATAAGGGGATTTTTATTCATCATTGAATTTGAACCTGAGACCTCCACGTATTTTTGATCTTTGGAGGCCAAACTCAAACCAATCAGACACCACCCTTGTGATTATTAAATAAAGAATCTAATCATAAGTAAATCTTCAATTTTTGATATTTGACGGAATTGAAAGGACATTCTTGGATGTTTGGTTTGCGGGATGATTGATTGGATTCTGTCGAATTCCACGGTTAAGGGATTTGATCATTTCTTGACATAAAGTGAAGAAATTGAATTCCACTTCATTGCAAATGTTGTAATTTGGTTATAGAAGAAACATAAATAATTTTTGCATCCAATTTAACCCACACCAGCGACCACCCTCACCGTAGTCAACACCTCCGCCACCAACCACCGTTGCCACCACCACTATCACCAATAAATATTATCATTCCACCAACCTCCCACCAGTGGTGTTGATTTTCATTTAAAGAGTCTTTTTTAACAATTAAATTATTGTACTTGTTGAAATCAAACAAATAAATCCTTAAACATTTAAACTAAATAACTCAACGGACATTTATATTTTAAACGATTCAAGTCCTAAGAAATTTTTCATGAAAGAAAAAACCATACACTTGCAAAACGAAAGTGATATACATCATCTTTCTCCGTGTATCAGGATATCAGTAGCAAGTATACTGAATCAATAAAATGAAATGAATATAACATTTCATTTTTCAAATAACAATCACACGATCATAACAAACATAAATGATTGTCATTTGAATTTAAATAAATAATCAGTAGTTTCTCCCGTAATAATTAATAAAATTTGAAAAATAAATAAAGGCCAGTGAAAATAATATTTTCATTTCATTGGTCCATTGTAATTTTACTCTTGATATATCAAGAAAAAAATGGCTCATCCATTTCATTTTGTAAGGGTAAGATGAAACAAATGTTTTGGTTCCAAAACATCACCAGAAATCATGTTTTTCAATTCCAACTTTTGGTTTTGGGCCCCAAAATCATTCAGAAAATGCAACAAATTGGTAAACAACAACAGATGTGTTTATGCAAAGTTGATGAATCTAAGTAATACTTATTAAAAAGATCCATTATGGTATGTCCCTTCTAAGATCTCATAAAGGGTGTGACAAAACAATCATAGAAGTTGATCAAATATTCCCATATCATTCATCGGTTGGTCTCTGTCCCAGAACTGGAATGTCCTCGTATCGCTTCTGCATAATGACCGATAATTTCCGTTAGAAAAATATCTCAAATGTACACAACAGAACAACTAGGTTAGACTTGTATAGAGCAATCTTCACTTCAAATCACTTCTTAAGGGGTGTTTGGTTTGATGGAATGGTTTTTTAGCGTAGAGGGATTTGGAATCTTTAGTGTGTTTGGTTTGTTGGATTTGGAATGGAATTGAATTCCATTTTTTATAAATAATTTATAAAGCAAATTATAAAAATACTTCAATTACATTTTTATTAATTGATTATTACAAAACAAATGTTTTTAACATTTTTTAAAACATTATTACATACAAATCCTACGAATGCCATGAAATACCAAGCACCCCCATGGGATTTCAAAATCCTATATTTGTGGGATTTCAGATCCAGGAAATATTTCAAACCAAACATGAGATTGGAATGGAATTCAATTCCAAATCCAATCCAATCCTGCAAACCAAACCGGGACATAGCTTTCTTCTTAGAACTTGAAAGAGGGAAAAGAACGAGCATTAGGGCCCCTAATTACAGTTTGCTAGCCACATTCAGGAGTCCAATCCCAATTTCGGGAGAGACAAGACTTCTCTTGGCAACCTTGAGAGCCAACTCAACAGCCAAATAAAGGCTAGGCATTGGGGATCCCCTCATAGGTCGCCAGTTGGAGTCTTCTCAAGGCCGCTAGGATTTTCCTAACTGTTTCCATGGGATCAGTCGAGGTGTACACAAGCTGGCCCGGACGCCCATGGTTACCAAAAAAAGAAGACTTCTATCGGCAACTCTTGAGATGCAGAAAATATTAAGCACATAGGAGTTTTACTAGGATAAGAAAAGGAAGGAACGGAATGCCATGGTTGACGTGTACTTGCTTCTTATGTAGCATGGTTAAGTATATAAGCTATATGCTTACACATGGATATAGACATATATATGTATACATGCATGTATATATAAATAGGGGGACCTTTTGAGAACCCATGAAATTGTGATAACCTTGAGAACTTGTATAGCATGTGTTATTTCATGATTTTTTTCATCTAAGAGTAGGATTTAGAATATTAATTAACATATATTTGTTTCACAATCTGTTATTCCCACATTTACTTGGTTTACAATGTGAACATTTTTGACATGTTTGTGAAACAAAAAATGCACAAAAAAGAGTTCCACATTGTGAATCGTATACATAAGAAACAAACAAACAAATATATATATATATATATATATATATTAATCATTATATTAGATACTATACTTGGAATAAAAAAATCATGTAAAACAAAACCTTAAGATAGAAGTTCTCGCATATCTCACAAATTTTGGAGTTCTCAAATGATTAAGCCCCTATATAAATATATATATGTACGTGCATATGTATAGATGTATATATGTGTGTATGTTAGCATGTGTATGTGCATATATATGTCTATATATTTGTGTATAACATATATTCCCCTCAAGATATTCCAAGATTAATTCAAGTTTCATGCTAGAGACAATGAAAACAATATAGTATTTATTGCGATGGTGGATTAGACTTAGAATAATAATAATATGCAAGCCAATCCAAGAAATTATACAAGTAGACAGTAGTTCTCCATTAGATTGTTCTTGTTTATCCTATATTTTGTGCATATATGCATGACTCTGAACAATACTTTTCTCCAAGCAGACTAGCGTTTCAATCTCGAAGACTGAAAACCAAAAACCCATATTGCATCTGCATGTTCTACGATGAATAATGTGATTTCTGGGCATCTAGGTCCAAGTGTAATAAAGGTTGGGATCCAGTGAGATGGAAATTATGGTGAGAAGGGATCTCTACCCACGGGTCAATCCTAAATAAAGATCAACACTAATGAGATGCACCAGATCAATTCTCGTGAGAACCACAATTCATGGGACCGGGGTGAGATTAAAAGTGATCAAGGGTCCAGCTTGACTCCTATTCTCACACGATCATTCATCGTGTAATAAACTATATTAAGCTATTTAAGGGTAACTAACTTATGTGTGAATGTTGGAATGTTGATAGTAATCTACAGCATCTTGACATTGGTAATAAACTGTGAGAAGTTACTACCTAGAGATCTACTTAAATTATAGAATGATCATATAACCTGCAACGTATATCTACAGTTGAATTTCACTGCTTCCATAAACAAAGCTAAAGTGATGTACAAGTTCGTTGTTCTATATATATGTGCGTGTGTGTGGTGGCTTGGTGTGGAATTTGGCCAATCATCAATCAGAAACTACAGAAATCACACAAACTCACGCATGCATCATCCAAGTAAGTGCTAAAACATTACCCCGATATTGTTATTCTCCCAGATCTTATGAACTCCGTAGTCCACTGCCTGAAACATGTAAATCCACATAACTGCATCAGTCAATTATATCAGACATGGAATGAGCTAATACAAACAACCTGAAACAAGAGCCCCTTGATTTTATAAACTAGGGCATATGTATATGTATCCAACTTTAAGATAATTTTTATAAGCTAGGGCATAACTCTATCCCCTTATAAACTTAAAATATCATTAATTTCTTAGATCTGGGAAGGAACAATGAACACGCTATCAAATCGGATCTAGAATTCAATTATCATCGATGATAATCAGCCGTATGAATATCTGTATAATCAAACCTAATAACCTGATTAAGAACGAACGGCATAAAACTAGGGCAGGTGTATAAGTATCAATCACATATGGAGGATCGGAACCCTAACCCGTTCACCGATGAAAGCGCCGGCGATGACGAAAGTGATGTAGACAGAGTTACGACGCATAAGGACTTTGTATAGTCCTTCGAAAAGTCCTCCGCTTCTGCGAGCTGCCGAATTCATGGCGATGGTGTTCTCCTAGGACGCTTTGTTGACGAGATGAGGAGTAGAAATGCGGCTTGGTTTCGATCGGTGTGACGACGGTCCTCGTTGCTCTATTTTGTTGGACCCCTTTACGCGGTCAAAAGGGGATTGTTTTTTTCTTTTTCTTTTTTTTTTTTTTACCGGATATCAAACCCTGCGACCGACTAATCCCAGTACGAACATCTATTTTGCAGATAACCCGAAGTCATCGTATTTGAACCTCCGTGGCCATAAAGACATTTTATTACTTCTTAGATTTAAACCTGGGACCTCCTAATACTTTTAACCTTTGGAGTCAAGTTCAAACCAATCAGGCACCACCTTGTAGTTAGGGGATTGCTTTTCATTTTTCTCTAATTGGATTTTTTTAGGTTGTACACGATTGTGTCTGGATTAATCCTGATAAATTGTGATTGTAATAAATCAGTTCTGATAGACTCGATGGTCATATGGTTATGTACACAGTAGTGGCATAATGATCATGACTAGGGTGTGGATGGTGGCGGTGGTGGTGACGGAGATGTTGGCAGCAGGAGCGGTCATGGGTGGTAAGAGTGGGAGTGGTGGTGGTTAAATTTGATGCAAAGGTTATTTTTGTCTTTCTAATACCAAATTATAGATTTTGTTACATTTGTCACAAATTTAAATTAAAATCCTTCACACATGTCAAATAATGATTAGATGTCTCAACAGTGGAATTCAGTGAATCCAATCTATTCCTTCTGCGAACCAACCATCGTCAAATAAATTTGGCATTTCAATTCCATCAAATTCACTTGAATTCTACGAACCAAACAGCATCTTAGGGTTTTAACTTGACATAGATAGTTTAATAATATCACATTATTGACACATCATTCTTTATTTTTGTTCCACGTATTTTGGTAGGACAAGAAAAATGCATTTTTGTCTCGCTCGGTTTTGTTTTATCCCAGTATAAATGTGGTATCAAACGTGGGACAACAATTTTCTATTCTATCATGTCTCGTTTTGTCCCGCATACCAAATACACCATCAATTAATAATTGATGTTCGTGTTTTTTTTTTATTAACATGGATATCCAACTCGCGATGTGAGCCGACTAATCTCAAGGCGACCACCTACTTTGTGGGTGGCCCGGAATCACAACATTTGAACCTCTGTGGACACAAATGGATTTTTATTTTTCCTTGTATTTGAACCTGGGACCTCCAGACACTTTTAACATTTGGAGCTCTAACTCAAACCATTCAGACATCACCCTTGTAGTTTTGATGTTCATATTTCCTTAATTAATAAGATTAAATTGACGTGTCAAATATATTGAGTCCTGAAATTTGCAATACATTCGTATTTGAAAAGGCTTGGAGTATAACCGATGGTCTTTATCCAACTTTAAGATAACTTTTTTTCTATTTTCACTGTTTACTTCTAAACATATTCAGTATTTTGGGAGATTTTCAAATACAGAAACACTCATCTAAATCACTTTGTGATATTCATTAATGTTGATTATCATATTGATTTAATTCGGGTATGTGTAGAAAAAAGACTTGTTCAAGTTTGTAGCCAACATAAGCATGTGTACTTGAATATTATACAAAACGGTTTAGAGCTTACCATTGAACGACATTATAATGGACTACAAGGGTACTCGCACAATGCAACAAGATACATCTCGATTTTAGTGTTTAATTTTTGTTTTGTTTCAATCAATGTTATAATATACAATGCAACAAGATACATCTCGATTNCGATTTTAGTGTTTAATTTTTGTTTTGTTTCAATCAATGTTATAATATACAATGCAACAAGATACATCTCGATTTTAGTGTTTAATTTTTGTTTTACGTGGTTTTGATGAAACGATAATCTTTCTATTTTTAAATAAAATATAAATATAAAAATATCGTTAAAAATTTGAAAAAAAATATTGATATTAATACCAAATTAACCATTTTTTTGTGTATTTGTTTAATTCATTTTTTATAAAGATAATAATTAAGTATTTTGTTAGAACTCAATGATTATTCTAATTATATTTTAGATCTTTTATATTTAAAATAAGAAGTTTATCCTCTATTTGATTATGTTTATATGCAGTTAGTTACACAAATTCAAACATGAAACTTTAATAAGTCGTACTTAATCACGATTTATTTGTAATCTTGAATTTTAAGTAATATGTATCAATAAACAACTAGAAGCGTACTCGCGCAATGCAGCGAGATACATTATGATTTTAATATTTCATTTTATTTTTTATCTCAGTCGATGTTATAATATGGCTTTATGTGATTTTGAGAAAACAATGATGTTTTTATTTTTGAATAAAATATATGTTTGAAGATATCATAAAAATTTAACAAAAATATATCGATATTAGTATCAAATTAATTATTTGAAATTCCTCATTTTTTGTGTAATTTTTAATTCAAAATTTATGTACGATAACGAAGTAATTTATATTTGGTTTAATAATATAATTTTTTTTATAAAGATAATAATTATTTATTTTGTTGGAACTCGATAATTATTCTAATTATATTTTAGATTTTTTATATTTTAAAATGAGATGTTCA